GATAATGAGATATATAAATTTACCCGTCCATGCTCGTTTTCAGTTACATAACAAGACGTTTTAGCTAAAAAAACTCCATCTGGTCAAACTATAAAGGGCATCTGGTCAAAGTATCAAAACAATATGTAGAGGCCCAAAATCTTGGTTGCCTTGCCAGTACGCACTCACAATGTAATGTTTAGCATACATAATTGATCCTAGCAGTCCCATTAGTGTACATAATTGATCCTGGCAGTCCCATGAGTGATCATTTTGCAAAAGGAAAGGCTTTAGACTTTTAGTCCACTAGATAATTCTCCGCGCGTTGCGGCGGGACCTGCTAACAAATTTATGTAAAAACCGTATTTGTTGTACCATGGAAACATGAGCCCATGCATTGGCAATTAAATTATTTGAGGGAAGCTTTTATGTAGAGCTTAGAGTTAAGTATATGACTAAAAATGGACTTGACTAAACACGGTAGAGATAGAGTTGTAGTATTCATCAAGAAGATGCAATGATGGGTGCACAAAAAGCAAAGATGATGTGAAAAACGTTGTTCCTCAATTTTTTTGTTTGGATAATGGAATAGATGGCACTTAGTCATTCTTGACAGAACATGATTTTAGCTCATCAATTTTGGTTCAATACAGATCATTGTAATTAAGGACGAACAACTGAGTCACAGGAAGCAAGTGGGTAGATTTTAAAAACCAATTGAATCTATTTCACCATTGCCTATTTAGACATAATCCTCCGTTGCTTCTCATTGTTAGGTGTCACTGGAATTGAAAATCATTGTTATGTCTCATAGGATCTTGAACACCGGACCAATGTGACAGTAGTCTATTGCATAGCATCATAGGAAACATACGCTAATCCACACTGAACAAAAAGAGTAGATGTCAGGGTATACAAAGTTCCTGTTATAAAGTAGCCCCAATAAAATCTTCACCACTAAACTACATTAGAGTAGAAACTGAAAAAAAAGAGGATATGCTGACCATCAGTAACAATTGAGCCAATTAAAGTACTCCCTCTGTCCCAAAATTCTTGTCTTAGATTTGTCTAAATACGGATGTATCAAGACTTGATACATCCGTATTTAGACAAATCTAAGACAAGAATTTTGGGACGGAGGGAGTAACTACTAAGAGGGCATCCAAATAATCATACCAGTATCTAGTGGTGTCAAGAGGTATAAAAAGCAGATGGGTCACTATTATAGAAAGTTATTTCTTCAATCACTGTTCGCTCCTGCCATCTTTTTTCAATGTGAGGATGGCATTTGGAAGACCTGGGCTGCTCTCAAATATAAAATCTTCCTATGGCTGTTGGTTAGCAAGCGAATTCGAACTGCAGATCGTTTTGCAAAGAGAAGGCTACCGCACAATCATAGTTGTGCATTTTGTAGCGGGCATGACGAAGACGCTGACCATTTGTTCTCCGGCTGTGCGATTGTCAGTATATGGTTTGGCATGCCGCGCTTAGCTGGGCCGGCCTACAGTCCCTCCAACGGTAGATGAACTCCACTTTCACATATTGCTGGACTGCTGCTGCTTCAACTCTTGGTCGTTTGGTCCATCTAGAATGAGCGAACAATATAGTCTTTCACAACGCCCATCTTCCACTTCTAAAGCTTGTTGAATTTATAAATCTGAATGTCATTTATGGGTTCAGGCTGGAGCAAAGCAATTAGACTCCCTGCTCGCTGTTTTGTCTCTTGGGCAAAGCACTTAGGTTCCCTGCTCCCTGTTTTGCCTCTTGAGTGGTCATCACCGTTTGTACTACCAATGTACTTGCTTTCTGTCTTAATATATGACAAGCAGTTCTCCTGCATGGCTCAAAAAAAAAACAATGGACCAAAATGATGCTACATGAAGTCTATAAGCTTATGTGTTTTCTTTCTCGTCAAAGGTAAATAATTAAACCAAAGCTTAAAAATATTTGTATGGCTGCAGCAAGATTACCGGATAGGCTATGTAACACACGTAAAAAATCAAATAATTTTGCCATCTAAGATATGCATAATTAAATGCAAAGTGCATGTGTAATGCAAATAAAATCAAAACTTTGGTAAGGGATTGGGCTCGTACATACCAAACCTCAGGTTGCACATCATTTGTATGCCAAATGGTTATATATGAATTTGGGAAGTAGGTTAGGTTGCACATCAAGAAGCACTAATTCATTGTCAGACCCTTACATATTCGAAGAACGATATCCTCTCAAAGAAACAACACATGGAAACATGAGCATCTGGTACTGGGCAATGGCTGTCGAACAAAATTTAGTTTAGATATATTAATCAAGAACACAAAGATGCAAAAGTAGCAACGTATAGGAAACAGTGTGTGCCTGTAGCAAGTACGGTTGCACAGGGAAAAAACTACTGAAGAACAACAGGGGTACATGACCTTCAACTGCAGAAGGATTCTTGCCGTAGTCCGTAGGTCGCCGTCCTCGCCCAGTTGAAGCTAGCAAGCACCTCCGACCTATCTTCAAGCACCTAGAAACATACGAATACCACATCACAACACCAAATCAAACCAATCACGAAGCAAACAAACCAGAACAGATCTGTAACACCCCACCCATGGGCTGTCACGCTATACTTCGTAACTGGGCCTGGGCTACGAGATGGGCCGTTCATTGAAGGTTAATTTCCACACGGCACAGGCTACATATGCAATCCGGAGAGCACGGGGAAAGGCGGCGAATGAATGAATCGTCTTCAACCTTCTCGTCCTCTGCTCTCGTTCCTCTCCCCCGGCTGCTACTGTATCTCATCTCCTATCTGTTGATTTCTCATCCCAAATTCCCTTGTATCCTCTGAGTCTGTATCGAATATGGGTGTTGATTTATCTATCTGTTCGATCTCTGTACTCCGGTCGTGACAATTTGGTTATCAGAGCCATAAAATTTCCTCAAAATTTTGCTTTCGCTGTGTGTTCCTCATCTCTCTCGATCCTTAACATCCACTGTCCTGGGTGTGATTTGCTTCAGTGAATCGAAAATCCTTGGGCTAGGTTGGATCGGTTTGGAGTGAAGCAACAGCGTCATCCAAACCCAGGCAGAGCCAAGAAAACAATCCCCACCTACTCCTGCCTACCATCTGTTCGACAAAATGTCAAGCCATCCAGAGATGCTCGCCGGCGGCGTTCTCCGCGTCATCGTGCACCATGTGTACTACCTAGTCATAGAGGATACACTCCAGCAGGTGTTCGCGGCGTATGGCGTGGTGGAAATCTCAGTATCCCAACGAATCCACCATGTGGAGGCGGTGGTTCAGTTTCGCACAAGACACGGGGCAGCGCAAGCCCTGGCCCTACATGGCCGTTGCATCTATGAGCGTGCCTGCCTCCTCGACATCCAGGAGGTTTTGCCGGATTTACTTCCTGCCACCACCGCGGGGTGCCTAGGAGGGGCGTCGGCAGCTCATGTCACGGAGGTCGCCTCTCCTTCACCAGCGCTGAGCCGCTGACGAACAGTGCCACGACCACCAACTGGGCACAGCTTCGGGCCATGTTGGAGGAGGCCCTCGCAAGGATGGAGGCCTTATCCACACCGGTTGCATCTGTCGTAGCCCCACCATTGTCAGGCTCCGCATCAGTGAACATCGAGGATGCCAGCGATAGGCAGGGGGCGGCCATCGCAGGTCCACACATGGAGGTCATCAAGCAAAAGGCCAACAGCGTGGAAACTACAGGATCAACCTCGCCCTCTACAGGCATGTTTTTGGCAATTGCAGCACCTGCAGAAACTCTGCCAGCCCCTGAGTTGGCGACACTGATGCCCAACACATGTTCGACAGATTGCTCCCAGGAAGACGCCAACAAGGTGACCCATGTGGTGCCGTCGGATGCATCTCCCTTGACCACGACACCGCTCAGCAACATCCTCTGCAACACTTCACCTTGTACTATGCCTTTGGTGTGTGCAGATACTGACGAGGAATAGATTGGGAAGAGTGGTGTCATGCAACCACTATGGCCACCACGAGCACCACCAAGTGCATGGCAGTTACAGTGCGTGGAACATCCTATTGTAAACTTGACTGAGCTGAAACCATGTCCAGATCCATGGATGAGCAAGAGCAGTGGAGCCAGGGACATACCACCGTCGACACAATACGCTATTGGTCCTGGAAAGAGTGACAAGTTTCTGGACCTTTATGAGGGAAGTGGATCAAGTTGGAGGTTAACAAAATGTGGAACACCTGGAAACATTGGCAATTTTGAAGATATTCTATTTGCAAACAACGACATGCAATATTCCCCGGTTATTGTTGCATTCTTTCCTGTCTTCTGTGAACGTCAGCTGTATGTATGGCCTAGTTATGTGGATATGACGAACCGAAAGCTTGGGTTGGCTGAGTTCCCTGAAGATAGTAGATTTGTAAATATGGAATCAGCCCTTGTTGCATTAGGTTGCAAGGATTGTCTTCTTCTGGCAGATTTTGAAAAATCAATAGATTTGCAAGCTCTTCAGGATGCTATTATCAATTGCAGTATTCTTCTGACTAAAAGAAAGAAGGCTGAATTTAAATCTAGGGATCTTGTGCAGGATCTTGTTAGAATAATCAGAAGTTATGTCGAGCCAGTTCGTGACCTCCTATCTCAGTTTGACTATACTTTGGGTGCCCTTGGAGCTCTAGTATTATATGCTGAGTTGCTAGCAGATGATACTAATTATGGAAATTACACGATTGAGAAATACAATTTGGACTGCTATATACGACTTGATTCTGCAGGGGTGCTAGCATTGGATATTGTTGAAGGAAAAACTGATGCAAACAAAAATAGGTTGTTTGGTTCGATAAACAGAACTCACACTGCTAGGATGGGGCATCGAGTACTTAACAAAGTGCCAAAACAACCTCCGCTGGATGTAAACGACATAAATAACAGATTATATATGGTTTAGTCTTTCGCGGAAGATTCCGAGCTTCGTCAGGGTCTTAGGCAACAACTTAAAAGGATGTCTGATATTGATCGCCTAACACATGCTCTCTGTAAGAAATCAGCCAACCAGCCTGCTGTTACGCTCTACAAGTTCTGCTCTACAATCTCGTACATCCAGAGTGGTCTTCAACAATACAATGGCCAATTTTCTACATTCACAAGGACAAGGTTCCTTAGCTCTTTCGAAGTGTGGCTGACAGAGAATTGATAAGGTAGGTTTTCTAATCTGGTTGAGATAGCTATTGACATCGATCAAGTAGACAATGCTGAGTACAGGCTATCTCCACCTCGTTTATGGCCACCATGGGACACATATGATCCTTCTGTCAGCCATGTGCAAGAATGGTTTGAAGCCGCCAGGAACATGAAAAACCTGGATAGAAGTGATTGTCACCGTTCAGCTTTAGAGGCATGCAAGTTTCTTTTGCCATTAGATTCTGACGACCCAAAGGGTGCTCTGTTTTGCATGGAGTCCTTTGCTCTAAGATCGAAGCAGTACAAATGGTTGGAACAGTTTGCTGAAGAATGCCAATGTGATAGCTCCCTTTGGTTGTTCCCAAATTTCTCCTTTTCACGTGATGTGGCATCTGAAGATGTTTCTAATGATGTTGACAAGTCAACAGTTGTAGAGCAAGCATTCATGCTTCACCCTCTGCTGCTTTCCAAGATGGTTGACAAGGCTCTTCTGAACGACTCTTCATGGACCCAAATACTTGAGAATGTGTTCTGCACAGGCCAGCAAGGTTCTTCCCCTGATGGTGCAATAGAAAATATTGAAAAATTTGGCATTGCGTTGGGAGGACTGCACACTACAAAGCACACTTATGAAGAGGATTTCAGTTTCTTTCATCAGCTTGTGATTAGCAATACAATCGCCCCCAAGCACATACTTCTACCATATGATCCAGGTGGCTTAGCTCTTCGGCTAGACGAGTGTGGCGGCATTTCTGATTCAAGGATGTTCATCACCGGCTTGAGGGCAAGCCGAATTTCAAGGGAGGAAGAGTGTAACACCCCACCAATGGGCTGTCACGCTATACTTGGTAACTGGGCCTGGGCTACGAGATGGGCCGTTCGTTGGAGGTTAGTTTCCACACGGCACAAGCTACATATGCAATCCGGAGAGCACGGGAAAGGCGGCGAATGAATGAATCGTCTTCAACCTTCTCGTCCTCTGCTCTCGTTCCTCTCCCCCGGCTGCTACTGTATCTCATCTCCTCTTTGCTGATTTTTCATCCCAAATTCCCTTGTATCCTCTGAATCTGTACCGAATATGGGTGTTGATTTATCTATCTGTTCGATATTTGTACTGGGGTCGTGACAAGATCAGAGGCCCAAGCTCACCATTGATATCGATCTTCATCAGACCTGTGCCAGACCACAGAAATTTAACAAAAATGAAAGAAGATTAATCATCCAAAGCACCACAGGAAGTCCAAAACTACAATAGCTAATAAGTGAATGAAGATACGGACCAATCAGGAGGAGAAGAGATGATCACGCTGTTCTTCAGGTTGTGCTTGCGGGCAGTGAGCTTCACCTTCCAGAACTCATCTCGCTGGGACCGGGCTGCGGCGGGGCTGGCCGCGTCTGGTGCATCTGAGGCCTTCAGCGTGAGGAGATCCCGGAGCAGAGCAACTCATGTGCACAAGCTAATTCGGCTGCGCGGGGATGGTCGGCGCATCCGAGGCCGCTGGCATGAGGAGGCCTGGAGTAGAGTGTCCCGCTAGAATTGGGGCCGCTGCCGTGATGGCCGCATCTGGTGCGTCCTATGACGCCAGCGCGAGGAAGGTTCAGAGCGGAGCGGAGCGGAGCGTCCGAAGTCGCCGACACGAGGAGGGCCCGGAGTAGACGAATGGCGTGCACACATGCTGATTCAGCCACGTGGAGATGGCCGCGTGCATGATCACTCCTTCGACGGAAAGGATGATGCCTACAATCAGATTAGGCTGGTCATAGTGGGAGTAACATAGGCAGTAACATAGATGTCATATAAGCAAATTTTTTGATGTGGCAAGTAGTTAATGAGGAGAGAGGCAAATAGAGTAATCTAATATGTTATCATCACATAGCGCTTTCCAATGCAAAATGAGTCTACAAGACAATAAATGTACATGTGTATGTTACTACTACACATATGACACTTCTCACTATAAGGGTAGTAACATAGAGTACTAATGTATGCATGTTACTACTATATGTTACTCCCCACTATGACCAGCCTTAGGGCATCTCCAGCCGTTGGCCCTTCAGGGGGCGTCAAAAAGCGCCGCCTGAGGTGAGCCGGCGCAAAAAATGGCCCTGGGGGCGAGTCGGCCCCCAGGGCCGTCCCTAGGCGCGTATTAAAAAAAAGATGGGACGTTCGGCGAAGTTATGATAAAAACTAGTTAAATTTCGGCCAAACATGGCAAATTTCGTCTAAACATGGCAAATTTCGACGAAATTCGCCATTTTCATGACATTAACCTAATCTAAAAAAGAAAGGCGCTGAAGTCGTTGCCGCCATAGTCGTCGGCGGCGGCCTTCTCCTCCTTGATGCGGGCGCCCCTGCTGGACCCGGCGTCGCCATGGCGGACTGGCGGCGGCACGTCGTCGTCGTCGTCGTCGCTGTCGCATAGGACGACGACCTCGTCTTCATCGCGGCCGCGTCGGCGCTCTTCGAAGCGGCGCAGGGCGGCGCGCTGGCGCTCTTCACCTTCTCCCGGCGCGCCTTCTCCATCGCAATGGAGTCCTGGCGCGCCCATTCTAGGGCCGCGTCGTCGTCCTCGAATTCCGCCTTCACCGGCGCAAGCCCCGGCTCCGTCTTCACCGGCGCCAGCCCCGGCTCCGTCTTTGGCTTGACGAAGCGCGGAGGAGCCGACGAGGATGAGGCGCGCCGGCCGCCCTCGTTGATGACGATGCCGGCGCTGCGAGTGCGTCGGCCGAGCGGCGACTCCGCCGCGGGCTCGGCCTTGACGCCGAGCAGGGCCGAAGTGCCGGAGGAGTGCGAGGAGGATCAGGAGGAAGAAGAGGAGGAGGAGGAGGAGCCGAACCTCCTTGGCGCCCATGGACCGACGCGTCGGTGCTGCGCCGGGGAGTACGCCAACGGCGGGTCGTTGCTGCCCTCGAGGTACGTGAGCACGCCCTCGAGTGTGCGGCCGGGGACGCCCCACCAGAGGTGGCGCCCCTCGCTGTTCTGCCGGCCGCCGACCACCGGCGCGCCGTTGGTGGACGCCAATCGCTGCTGCTGGCGGCGCTCGAAATACGCCGCCCAGGCCGCGTGGTTGTCGGCGGCGTACTGGGGGAGGGAGAGTTGGTCATCGGTGAGGGACGCGCGCACGATCTCGACCTCCTCGGCGAAGTACTTCGGCTTCGCCACGGCGTCGGGCAACGGGGGAATGGGTACTCTCCCGGCGCTGAGCCTCCACCCCGATGGCCCGGCGCGCATGTCCGGCGGCGCCGGGATGTTCGCCTGGAACAGGAGCCAGGACTCCTGTTCGCGGAGCGAACGGCGGCCAAAGCCGTTGGCCGCCGCCTCGTCTCCGGGGAAACGTTCTGCCATGGCAACGGCGGGGCGGGGCGGGCTCGGGAGAGGTAGAGGGAGGGGCCGGAGGGCGGCGCTCGGGAGAGGCAGGGAGAGGGAGGGGTTGGACGGCGGCGAGGGGGGACTGATCTGGGCACAGGCGAGTGGAGGCCGCTGGCTTTTATAGCCGGGCCGCGCCCGTGTGTACGCGTGCGCGGGAAGGGAGGCGTCGGCGCGCCGCCCCGTGAAGCGCCGCCCGTGATGAATCAATGGCAAGGCTGACCGCGGCAGCCTTGCCATTGATTCCCCGCGAGAAACCGAGGCTGTTGGGGGAAGACGAGGCGCCGAGTCGCTGACGCGGCTGGCCCGCGTCTTTTTCGCGCCAAAACAGCTCGCCCCGGCGCCCCCGGGCGTCCCCCAGCGCGCCGGGTTCGGGCTGGGTCCGCCGGCGCTGTTTTCGGCTCAAGCCGGCGAAAATCAGGCTTCTGGGGGCGCGACTGGGCCGTCTTTTCGGTGCCGGCGCGAAAAAAACACCTGGGGAGGCCTTCCTGGAGGCGCGGCTGGAGATGCCCTTAGGAGGCAGCGGCGTTGAGTTGCAGGAATCGCGGAACAGGAGGCAGTGCCTGGGTGCGGTAGGATGTGGAGATTGTAGAAATCGGAGGGAAGGTGAAGTGGAAGGGATGGTTGATGAGAGAAGAATGAGAGGAATGTGCGGCGTCCAAGGAGGGGAAGGGGAGCCGAGAGAAAGCCAACCTGCTCGTTCGGGCTTCCAAATTATTTATTGCGTAGCTCGGGAGAACGGGAGGAGGAAATGAGTGTGCCAGTTAATTGTATCGAGTTAAACGAACAGAGAGAGGTTGCCTTAAATCCGATGGCCACCAATAATCATGTCTAGACTGATGGACTGTAGCTTGAAAACGGAATGCTGATGTGGCATGATGATGATATGGATAGTGTGCATGTAGAGAGAATTGGTAGTAGTGGGGAGCAACTTCTTAAGTATGCATGTAAGATTAGCATCAAAAGATAGCATTACATTTAGAGAAGTAGTACATGAATAAAAGGGAAGCAATATACATAAATAGCAAGATATTCTATGATACACACACACATTTCCGATGGTCCACACACATTCCCGAAGGACCCAACCTTTGCATCTGTGAATTGCCGCAGCTAGCCACTACAAGAAGAGAGGAGCACATTAGCACGACAACTGCCAGTGACGCAAGTGTAATGGAACAAACCTGATATTAACGACGCTGCCATGTTCCTTGAGGCATGAAAAAAGCAGCCGAGGTATGCTCGCGCTAGTTGGGTCTCCTCGACGGCGAAACGGTGTAGCGACGGGAAGGAACCGGCGCCACAGGATGCAGAGGTTGGGTCAATGTAGCCTCCGGCCGCGACGCCGATGAGGCAAGGACGAACTTAGCCATGCGGTCAGGTGACGCTGCTGCCGGCGA